ACTTGTGTTTCTCTACTTTTGGTTCATGTAGTAACCTAATGTCTGAATCTCATGTTATTTTTTATACTCAAAAGTGTTAGTAGATCACGTGTCATGACTTACACATGTATATTTGTAGATTAATTCTTGTTTATTGTACAGATTAGTTCTATTTAGTATTATGCATCAAACGGGGAGAAGAGTAAGTGAATAATCTTCCTGGGAAAATGATAAACCAGATCATGGACAAGTTTGCCACCAGGAACCTATCAAAGTTGTACTTCAATCTTCTACCATCAACCACTTCACAATTCAAATTCTTTTAAACTCTCAATTCAACACACGTGAATCTCAAGGTTTCCGGCATTCTATTTACACATACAACTGTATAACTATTAATAAAAACACATGTTCGTTCAAAATGAATCAAATTTATTAGGAGAAGGGAAAAGTAAATTTCAGCAAATTATCTGCGCAGCAGATACGTATTGAACATTGAAAGCCATCATCCTTCTGACAAACAAGTACGAATGTATGTCCTTTTTGCAGTTTTTCTTTTTTTGGGTAGAAAAAAGCGTCAAAACTGCGCATTCTAATCTAGACGGACTTCACTTGTTCTGTTTAACATATAGATATATTAATAGCACTATAGACTTCACTTAATTCAAATAAAAGAGAGTAACAATCTTCCTCACATTCTTTGCTTATCGACATGTTTCCATGAGCAATCTACTGTCATGAAATGCAAAACAAATTACTTGTTGTACTTGTGATATGATGTCCATGTTGCACAGCCTGCATTCACCATCACAAGTAGTTAAAAAGAATATTCGCTACTATTGACAAGAGCATGCTCGACTAATCTTAAAACTAACTCAAAACATGTTTGATAATTAAATTTTTTTCAACAATGATATATGTTGCACCAATAAGTTCATCTTGATTACAGAATGAGCAACAACAATTTTTGGCATTCCACAACCCAGTTAATGTCATATTGCTAGCATATCATCCACTCAAAAGTTCAGCCATTACAAATGTCTTTTTACTTATTCAGCATAGCAAAAGAGAAAGCCACTACACACATGTTCAATCCAGCCCTATAATAATAATTCATTCTTTGCTGGAGGAAGAATAATTCAATCTGATAAAACCTCATAATAAATAATAGATTCCAGCCATGATTAGTCACGATTATACAACTCATATACTCGCCAGACCATTCTTTCATCTGCTATTACTCCTTTACGCAAAATCGGATAATGTAGCTGAGATATTTTATCTCAATACCTTCGACTACCCCAAGCAGGAAATTAAAATAAAAAAAAGAAAAATGTAGCTCAACAAAAAAGAAGGGAAACATACCAGCTCGGAAAACTGGTGCGCGAGCAAAATCCAACGCCGTTTTGTCTCTTCTCGGCTGGGGAGAGTAGTGCTGGAGGACGGCGACACCACCGGTGGGCACTACCGTGGCTGGAACCGACGGGAACCTTGATGACGGGAAAGAAATGTAGTGATTTGGGGAAGATTTGAATTTGGGGATTTTGTCTCAGCTTCTCAGTGCGAAATGGGGATAAGGGAAGACTTCTGGGCTGAGTTCTTTTTTTTTTTGTTGGGCCGGATGAGTTCCACGTCATCAAAATTGAAAAGCTGTGAAATGAAGTGTGAACCGGGACTGCAAGAGAAGCAAAATCCGATAAGAGGTTGGAGAAAGAGCTAAGACCTATTAAATGGAAGTTGAGGATATATCATACCGACATGTGGGTCATGCTGGGGTTAAGGGAAGCAATGGGTAGACGCATTTTAATTTGAAAGTGGTTTCTGAAGAATTTGAAGGCAAGAGCTTGGCTAAGATGCATAAATTAATTTACAGCTTGTTGCAAGATGAATTGCAAAATGGTCTACATGCATTGTCGATTGTGGCAAAGACAGCTTCTGAAGCTGATCCTCAGGGAGGAGGGGGAAAAAGGAGAAGACTTTTGTTGTTTTTTTTTTTTTTTTAATTTAATTTGTTAGGGATTTATTTGTACTTCTTTTTAAAAAATGGGAGTATGATTGCAATTTTTTTATTTTTTCTTTTGTTTTATTTAAATAAATGAGTATATTTGTCATTTTACAATTTTTAATTGAGAAATTGAATAAAAATTTATGAAAATGATGATTTTCACAATGAAAAGTTGCAATAAGGGTGAAAATTCAAAAATTTGAAATGTGAAAACGTTTTACACACAAGAACTAAATGTAGAGACGTTTTGTGCTAATAAACCTAATCTTTTGTGCACAAAATACTAAGACCGTGTTTGATAGGCCACATTTTTCGGGGAAATAGGAAAATATTTTCCACTTTCCACTTTTTTGGCTGTTTGATAGGCGAAATTTTCCACGGAAAATATTTTCCGGATTTTCCCCACACGTGTGCAATTTCCGGGTTTTTGATGAAAATGTGGTGGGAAA